ATATCAACTTATCTTCAAATTTGCCTAAAAAATGCCTCACAAAATTCTTGTAATAATCATCACGAAGTTCTGAATTTTCACCACCAGGAAAAAAATGCTTATTTAATATGGCAGGAAAATGCAATAGTGTTAAATAATACAAGATTTTTTTGAGTCTATTTCCAATTCTGGTAAATGCTTTTTTGCATACAACAATGAAATAAACATTTATGAGAAAGATTTTAGAAATTGGTTAATTTTCTCTCTTGTCATTTCTTATCTAATTTTAGTTTTCTAATTTGTCATTTCCCTTTACTATCAAGGGTATGTATCTAAGATCTAAGCAATTCTTGGCCAAATAAAATCTAATTTGTTTTTCTGTGCAGGGGGGAAGCCACTAAATTATTAAATAATTCCTAAATGGATTTTACTTAAGTGATTTCCTTCCTGCATTAAGAAAAGACAAGAAACTGTTCTTCTGGAATTTTATTACAAAAAAAACAGTCGGAGAGGGTTTAGTGCAACTTGCATATCAATGTTTATGTTTAACTTCAAAGAGGACCATGTTCATACAAAACAAACATGAATGGGTTTGTTTTGCATATGTTTATCTTTTCATTAATTAGCTGCACCAAAACACTCCAAACATTTCAGGTCACCAAGTAGAAAAATTGTATGTAAAGGTGCTTTTTTTGTAACTGCAGAAACTGGTAATTTGGTATATATTTACCAGTACATGGCATTTTTAAAACATCAATAGATTTATCTAAGAATTATCAAATATGAATTGTATGTAACCTATTTTGTTTTTCTCTCCCTTAAAATTAATACCAATATAAGTTATAATAAAACAACCCATGGATTGAATTGGTCAAGACAAATCAGACCCATAGATTTTGTCAATGATTTAAATCATTTCTCAATAAGAATGTATATGGATAAACTGGGAAAAAAATCACTATTAGTGTCAGAAAGACATTTGTAAAAATAACCTATTGTTTTAAAGCATCAAATAAATATTATTGATGACAAAACTGCTAAGGCATGTCTAGGTATAATCTGCTGACCCAACGTCATAGTCTAGAACTGTTCACTTATTATAATAGTACATGGGGAAAGCATAATACGTAAGTGACCAGACAGCTCAGTCAGTAGAGTTGCAGTACACTATTCTGAGGGTTGAGTCCCTGCAAATATTTCTCTACAACAACACTGTTGTAAGTCAATTTATATTATATACAGTAAAAGCAATGACATAGCAGCAATTACCATATGTGAAAGTAGATAACATGAAAATATCAAAAGATAAAAGAAATTTGTAAATTTTTGTAATTCAGTTTTTCTGTAGTTTTCAATTATTTAAAGATGCACTCCCCACTCTATATATTAGAAATTTGAGTCTCAAAAATGTTTCTTATAATCGCAAAGGGATGGCAAGTTATAAACTGGATATAATATGCAAAGGCCTGCAGTGTTATAGGGAACAGGGAACCTACCATGTTTGGTTGCCAGCCATCAGCATTGACACATTTATCAATAGACCACCAGAAATCTTCCTCAGTCTCGCCCTTCCAGGCAAATATTGGGTAACCTGATTCTGCCAGGGCAGCTGCTACCTCATTCTGCAAATATATTATTATATATTTATAAACTTTAATTTTAAATTCTTGATCAAGAATGCTATCACTACAGCTTGATTAAGTTTGCTGACTTCATATAACTTGCCCATAAGTGCTTCATCATGCACATTTACTTCAATCATGTGAAGGAATTCATCGTCAAGGGAACAACTGCTGTCTGGAAATTGTTCAAAACAATGTTTGATCACTTCTGGGCTAAAATATGTAAGTTTCAACTGTCTCATTTGAGAATCACCAAATTTCAATGAACATTTAAATACCTAAATGTTTGATATACATGTATCACATCCTTTGTACTAAAGCAAGATTTATTTCTGTATTTCAGTTTTCCTGGCACATGATTTAATACAGATAAATCACCTTAAAATTAATAGGTAAACTCAATGGAAAATTCTGATTAGATATGGCAAATCAAGATTGGATAAGGTTTTATAAAATCTTATAGATCACTGTCTTACACATGGTAAATTAGGTGATATCTGACATAGATGATATATACTGATATAATATTTTCCAGATTTTACTGCAAAACTGTTTTAGTTTAAACACTTTATATTGAATTTTGATTTCTTCAATCAATCTTGGAACTAGCTAGCCAACCAGTCCTGCTGTAGTTGTGAGCTTATAGTAGGGCTCCAAAATCATGACCCATTCACCCTTAACAACTAGGCCACTGCTACCTAAGCAAAACTGTTTTATTTTGTTGATTGTCAAGAGTGAAAATATCAACAATGACTTAAGTGTTGACTTTGTTAAATGTCCTCCTCCTGTCCCAAATGTGGGGGTGTCTTATGAAAACTGTTTGTTTCATAATGTAAATACCTCAGGTATTTTATGTCAAAACAGTATAGATCAAATGGCGACTTTCCCGATTAACTGGTGGAGGAAGACCTCGGGTTCCCCTCTATGCAATATTTCAGGCACAAACAGGCACCTGAGTAGAACCACTGAAGTTGCATAAGCTAAAATGGAGATCTTCTTCACATCAGGATTCAGATCCCCAATGGTGAAAGGCAAGTGGTTTGAAGTCAACAACCTTAACCACTTGGCCATGGACGCCCTTTAAATAAGATAAAGATGTTAATAACATGCCATTGTCGACATACCAGCAGGCCTGTGAGACTAAAAATGGTTGCTATAAAATTCCTCAAGCTAACAATGGGCTGCATGCTGTATAACCCTTACTACCCTAAATTTCTTAAAATTTACTTTCCCATCTTTTAATCTGGACAAAACCACTTATCAAATTTAGGGAAAAATTTCAAAATATGGACTGACTTAATAGCAAATTGTGCAGACTATGATCGCAGACGGCAAAGATGACAGGCTAGGGGTTAAGATTTAAAATATTATAAATTTGAGTTCAGATCATGTATAATGATGTATATATTAAGAACATCCATCTCATAAATCATTTAATAAAAAGACTTAGTGTCTTTTTTTATTTCAAGGTTTTGAGCATGCCTATAATGTCAGTAGTGCAATTAATTTGCAATATTAAGTAGCAAGTTTTATTTCATATTGACAACATCTAAGTTTCCTTAGAAACGGTTTATAATAGCATGACAATACCAGAAAATTGTATATTTCTCCCTTTCAGAACATGAACAATGGGAAATAGTGACAATCACCCCCATGAGACTCTCTTGTCATTATCTAGGATGCAATAATATTAATTTCCTTTGGGTTCACCACTTTAACAATAAAGAGGATTGAAAACAGACAGAAATACAAGGGACTGTTTTATGCAGTAAGGGTATATTTGTTGCTGTTTGTTAAATTTTTAGCCACACTAATACTGTCAAGGTCATCCTTGTGGAGAAAGACCTCTAGTGCCCCTTTGTGTATTATTTCAAGCCCAAGCAGGCACCTGAGTAGAATCACCAACATTGCCTAAGCTAGCTGGATAGCTAATCCAAAGTCCCTGCAGGGATTTGAACCCACAACAGTGAGGGTAATTGAGTGATTTCAGGTTTTTTGAAGCCGTCATTGAATGTTCAGGTGGAAAAAGCATCAGTTAACAGCTAAACCTGAGCCATCTGACCAGAATCTAAGATGGTACTGTGTTACTTTATCAGGCTCCAGCTTTTCTTTAAAAAAATTATTTTCCTGTCTCTCAGCTCACAGCTCCTAACATAATCTTGACTTAAATACAATATTAAAAATAACAGACAGGATGTGACCATACAGCTGGAGAGGGGGGAAAAAAGTTTGCCGACTACCTCTGCCAGCTTTACCTTCCTGTTACTTAAAGAAATTAATGCTTAGCCGAAAATAAACATTAATTACTTCAAATTGAAAGCAGATGTTAATATTATCTTATGTTATTTACATAACAAGATTAAACTTGTAACAGGATAAGTCTTTGGCATCATCTCTTTTATACCATTGGTACAACACTTCTTCAGTGTTTCTTGGCAAATCAAGTTTTTACACATTTCACAGTAAACAGAAGCCACATCATCTAACTAACAAACAAAACAATCTAATTCCCAGACAATAAACTATCTAATCTAATATTCTGTTATGTTGGGAAGAATGTGCATTACATACATATTCAACAACAGTAACATGGATATAACAATGTTACCACTATATCTTGTATGAACCTAAAACTTTCTATGCTGATTATGTGTGAGTTATGGATTTCAGTACTTCTTTGAATTGTACTTGTTTCCTAACAGAGTTCTTATTTAAATATCTGATACTCAAACTAAGAATAATACAGCATATAGCTTGGTCAGATTGCACAGTTATTTCATTTCTTTATCTAAATTAATTATTTTATTAATTAATTTATTTATCTGGTTGGATTTTAAGTCACCTCAACACATACAATATCATATTTTCCAGCTTTACTGGTGAAGGATTTAGACATCAGGTGCCCTTTCATAATGAGTGAGCACCTGTGAAGAACTGCAGACATTCAATAAACTAGCTTGACAGCTCACTCACATGAAAGAATCCAAAGTCATTTGCCAAATTCTAACCAAGAGTGGTAAGGGGCAAGTGATTTTGAAGCCATAGACCTTAGCCACTCTGCCAGGAATGCCCTAAAAATGCTAGTTAGACTTCATTATAAGAACAGCAAAGGTCTGACTATTTAAAAAAGATAATATATTCAAGGCACTCTTTCAAACATCATATAAAGTTCTAAATACAAATTGCAACATGACATGTAGCAGGCTTACTGTTTGAACAAATATTTGTTCCCATAATGCAAGACCTAAATAATTGTCCTCAAGACAAAAACAAAATATCACAGTTGGAGCATTGTCAAATCTAAATTAAAGCTGCCAGATGATCATTCAAATGGCTTGTTCCTATTTATAAACAACTTTAATAATCACAATCAAACCTTGAATGGGGACATTAATAAGTTCAATGACTTATATATTAAGTTATAAAGTTTCCCACACTGCTGCCAAATTTTTACTTTTGATGTTGTCCACAATGAGAATCATCCTTGACCTATGTGTGAGGACAGTTTTATGGGAAAATATTGCTTGCACTTAACACAGAAGCTGACAGTGGTTCATTGGGATTCTTTGCTTTAGTGTCAGAATTTCTTCCTAAAATTTATGCAATTACTATGTTGTGGTTTAGTATTAAAACTAACATATGGTATGCTCTCTAATTGCCATTAAATAAATAATTAATGCTAATCTTCTACGCTGCACATGTTAATATTTTAATGAGTTTAAGTAGATTAAACAAGATTTTGTTAGTCATACATTTTAACTGTTATTTTAAAAGCTTTTACTAACTGTAAGTCTATCTACATCATTATCATTAAAGGAACTCCACTGAGGTCCAAATACCTAAAATATAAAATTTGAAAATCTAACAAAGATCAAGAGGAGAACTTAAAATTGAAAATTCTGCAAAAGTTAATAATGAAAGATATTAAGAGTTAAATCAGAAATCAATTTTTTGTGTGCTTCTTAGCTTAATTTTGAGTCAAAAGCATTGCAACTCTTTTCATTTTTTTTTTCAAAATAAAAATGATCATAGAGAGAATGACCTTAAAAATTGCACATAAGTTATTGATCCAGACCTACATCAAATGTTACACAAATCTTTGAAAAAAAATATTTCTAGTCCCATCATGTTGAAATAAGAGTCATAAGAGTCCCTTTAATGTTTTACAGTAAATTATAGTGTTAACAAATGAGCCGTGTCACGACAAAACCAACATAATGGGTTTGCGACCAGCATGGATCCAGATCAGCCTGCGCATCCGCGCAGTCTGATCAGGATCCATGCTGTTCGCTTACAAACTCTATAACAAGTAGAGAAACTGATAGCAAACAGCATGGATCCTGATCAGACTGCGTGGATGCGCAGGCTGGTCTTGATCCATGCTGGTCGCAAACCCATTATGTTGGTTTTGTCATGACACGTCTCAAATGTATTTAAAAGAAAACTCACTTGAGTTACATGATTGTACTTCCATTACAAATTTTCATGGGATTTTACTAAAAAAATTATGATGTGTTGAAAATTCTTTAAATTTCACAGTAGTTTTTACAAACAATTCATTTGCACAGAAATAGCTTAAAACACTTTCATTACTGGCAAAAACTTGGCATTGTAATTACAAATTTTCTCTAAATTCTGCATTATTTTTAAGAAATTTGGAGGCATCAATAATTGTTAATCAAGAAGTGTTGTTTAACAATGGCTAACTTATTCCCAAAGTCTTACAGCAAACTGTGTTTATTTGTTACAAAGTAACCACCCAATCTTTACAACAAACAGTTTCTCTTCGGCTGTGTGAAATATCATTATCCATCATTTGTCATTGGTCAGGTCTTGGGGGACATTTTTTACAGATTTTCTCAGAAAACCACAACTAAAACTAGAACTATCGCTGAATGCGATTCATACCCCCACCAATGTCCTTGACAGAAGACAACTTGGAAAGGTGGTTAAGGGAATAACTTAAGTGGCGCAAATACATAAAAAGAAATAATCTCTGGTGAAAAAAAGACTAATTTGTACAGGTAAAAGTATAAATATTTATTATCAAATCATGTTCGAAACAGTTTCAAATAACCTTTCATTTTCCCAATATTTAACTTTTTATAAGTCAATTTTTGACCTTTAAGTGTGGCCTTGACTTTCAGCTGGCACAAGGGTAAGATGGATTCTGCACATCGCCCAGTTGGGGTGAACATTTGAGTAAAATTTGAAGAAAATCCTTCAATAAGTAAAGAATTTATAGAGCGGGACAACATATTGTCTAATATTAATTGTATGTAAATTTAAAGACTTAAAAAGGGGCATAACTTTGTCAAAATGCAATACAGAGTTATGAAACTTGACCTGCATATCGCAATTGTGACACCTCACATATCTTTTAAGTTTCAAGCAAATACCTGTGCTAATTTCAGAAATATTCCAGTACATGTTAAAATTTAAGAACATTTTCTAAGTCAATATTTGACCTTCAAGTGTGACCTTGACCTTTACCCGGCACAAAGGTGACATGGATTCTGCACATAACCTTGTTGAGGTGAACATTTGAGTAAAGTTTGAAGAAAGTACTTCGTTTAGTGTAGGATTTATAGAGCAGAAACAACATATTGCCTAATATTTGATTGTATGTAAATTTGAAGATTCGAAAAAGGGACATAATTTTGTTAAAATGCAATACAGAGTTAGGAAACTTGACCAGCATATCTTAATTGTGACCTTTCATATATATTTTAAGTTTCAAGCAAATACCTTTTCTAGATTCAGAAATCTTCATATAAATGTTAAAATTAAAGAATATTTTCTAAGTCAATTTTTGACCTTCAAGTGTGACCTTGACCTTAAGCCGGCAAAAGGGTGACATGGGTTCTGCACATTCCCTTGTTGAGGTGAACATTTGAGCCAAGTTTGAAGAAAATCCTTCAATTAGTGTAAATCTTACAGAGAGGACACAACATATTGTGTAATATTTGATTGTTTGATATTTGACCTTCAATTGTGACCTTGAGCTTGAGCGAACACATGGGCAACATGGGTTCTGCACATCCCCTTGTTGAGGTGAACATTTGAGCCAAGTTTGAAGAAAATCCTTCAATTATTGTAGGACTTACAGAGCGGACACGATATATTGTGTAATATTTGATTGTTTAATATTTGACCTTCAATTGTGACCTTGACCTTGAGCTGACACATAAGCAACATAGGTTCTGCACATCCCCTTGTTGAGGTGAACATTTGAGCAAAGTTTGAAGTAAATCTTTCAAAAAGTGTAGGAGTAACAGAGCGGCCACGACATACTGTCTTATATTTGATTGTTTGATATTTGACCTTCAATTGTGACCTTGACCTTGAGCTGACACATAGGCAACATGGGTTCTGCACATCCCCTTGTTGAGGTGAACATTTGAGCCAAGTTTGAAGAAAATCCTTCAATTATTGTAGGACTTACAGAGCGGACACGACATACTGTCTAATATTTGATTGTGTTTGATATTTGACCTTCAATTGTGACCTTGACCTTGAGCTGACACATGGGCAACATGGGTTCTGCACATCCTCTTGTTGAGGTGAACATTTGAGCCAAGTTTGAAGAAAATCCTTCAATTGGTATAGGAGTTATAGAGCGGACACGAAAATGGAGACGGACCGACGGACGGACCGACCGACCGACCGACGCGACAAAGCGAATCCATTATAGCCCCCCCCCCACATTTTGTGGTGGGGGTATAATAAAATAAAGCACTTGTAATGTTTCCTTTAAGATAGTGCCAATGTCATTTACAAAATTTGTAATAGTTCTGTAATTATACTCACACATGCACCAAAAAAAATAATGCATGAAATTAAACAAATTAAGAAGAACTGTCAGTAGGACAGTGCTCGGGTAATGATAGTTAAGATATTCGTTTTAGCTGCAAAAATCCAAACTGAATAGAATAAATGAATTCTAATATTAATGAGATTTGTAAAAATTTTAAATTGAATTGATGTAAGATGCAGCAAATGCAAAATTGGGAGAGGGGGGAGGGTTCTGAGATTAAATTTTGTGAGATTTTCTTCTCACAAATTTTCTGAGAATTATAATAAAAGAAACTTTATACAATAGGTTTTTTTATGAAGCATACTCGTGATTTGCAGATGCTTCCCAAAGGATGCTCGCTATGAAATATTTTCTGAATTTGACAATCAGTACTTGAAAAGAATGATATATAGAAGATTTTCTGTCTTTTGCAGTTTGCATAAAATGGATTTTTTTTTACCTTCTTTACAACGGCATCGTCTAAGGAAGTTTGTTTATAAAATGAAAACCATAGTCGTTTGGCCAAAAGGTCAACATGTCACCAGAGACAAAATGAATTCCAAGTTAAGCTCAGTTTCAGCCAGGTGTGTGACCTTGTCAACTAACCAAAGACAATAAAATAAATTGGTATAATTCTATTTTCACAACAACTTAGCAACTTACCAACATTGCTTATAATCAAGTGATGTTCCACTTATTTGACACTAAATATTGTTGTTCCCAATGATGATTTATTTATCACCAAATGCTGATGACCAGGACAGATAACAATGAAATAAAATATCATAAAAGAGAATCTTGGTTCCCAATTAATCTTAAAACTCAATGCTATTGATTAACGCTCTTCAAGAGGGAGGAGAGAAAAGCAGTAAAAGCGGGTGAAAAAAAGTTGATAAGAAAAAAGTGACAGAAAAAAGTGACAGAAAAACTAGAATCAAGGATTCAGAAATGGTATAATCTGCCTGTGTCTGTCATATCTGTTCAGACAATGTATGATGGAGATGTCTCCAGACACAGGAAATTTCTTGAGATATTCTTCGAAAGTTTCCGCAAAATAAATGTGTACCGGTAATATTTGGTAATACTTTACATTTCACACCTTCTAGACTATACATCACCATGAAATTATTCTATTCAAGCCCTATCAATTCTAGTTAGACCTTACAAATCATTTCCTTCTTATAAAACTGAGAGAAGATATTCAGACATTTTGAGATAATAACTGTTTAAGAATATATGTCAACAAAAGTTAGACACACAATGTCAATAGAGAATTTCATATTTATAGTAAAGAGACTTTCAGTACCAGTGTGACTAAAGGATATAGTAAATAACATCAGACAAGTATGGAGAAACATAGTAATGACTCTTAAATAAGGTTGTCATGTCCTTTTATGCTTATGTGTTATTTCATAATCTTAAGTGCAAGTAACACATGTTCTATAGATCATCTGCTGCTCATTACATAACATGTCACAGACTTTCTTCTATAGATTGTCTGGTGCTACATAATAATTTAGACATTACTAACCTGGGTGGAGTAGATATTACAGGCAGCCCATCTCACAGATGCACCTAAATGGACCAATGTCTCAATCAGTACCTGCAAAACATGAAACGAAACAAAAACATCATTCATTTGTTTGAAATATCAGGGTAACTAACCTTCCACAATTAAGAAATATTATTTTTTAAATTATAAAAGCTTTAGAAAGACATCTATATCAAATTCAATTTTTTATTACATTGTATCATAGTTCGGAGACCTTTCTGTTGAAAATGTGTCAGGGTTAAATCGTATACATAAACATGCACAGTGCGTTAACTGGAGTGCGGGTATTAGTTACCCGCACACCAGAGCATGCCCATCGATTGGCTCATTTTTGCTGGGGTTTACATATTGTGACGGCAGAGAAAGGGAAAGCGACAGAAATGTCATATTCAGATGTTCGTTCATTGGTTCATTTTTGCCGGGGTTTCATATTGTGACAACAGGGAACGTGCTTTTATGTTTGACTATGATACAAAAGAGAAAGAACACCAAAACACTCGACAATCTGATTTATACTCGGGGGCAACGCCCCCTCGTACAAATCAGATAGCCTTGTGTTTCGGTGCTCTTTCTATTACTTAACCATAATTGGTTCTACCAAACCTACACATTTCTTTGAAATTAAAAAGAAAAAAGTTTATAAAGCAAGAATTGTATTAATTAAATTTGCCTCTGTTTGCCATTCTTAATCAATGGACACAACTCAATCAGCTATTCCAAGGAAAAATCATGAATAAATTTATTAGACAGAGATAAATCACAGTGTCCATTCATCCTGGTAAATTGGTCAACTCTTTTACATGTCCTTTAGGCCAAAGACACAATCAATTTGTTGGATAAAACAATATATCATAGCCCGAATTGGATTGTTAGAATTCTCATATTTTACATCATAATTAAGTTTCTAGCAAAATCACATCTATTTACAGACTAAAGTGTATAAGGAATGTGCACTTAGAATATTAATAAAGTGTTTGTCAAATTTAATATCAACATTGAGCATTAAATATGATAAAGCAGTAAATAAGCATTTTCAATCACAATAGGTTGGTCTTTGAGAATTCTATCTTTTCTTTTAACATGCTACTGACTATCACAGTTAAAGCGAACCTGTTTAATTTAGCCCTTTATACTTATATATCATTCTTAGTCTCAGCTTTGTTATATTTCTGAAAGGTCCTTTAGGAATCAACAATTCTAATACTTAGTGTTGAGGTATGGGGGCGTGAGAAATGTTGCACTTTCCATGAACAGACTCATGAAACTCTCAATGTCTGTGATTCGAAACTTGCAATTCTCCCGATGGATCCGCTTTTAACAGAATGTTATAGTTATATTGTAGGACATCATGTTTCTACCGTATTGCCTTTTCTGTACAGATTCTTAACATCATTCTTTAGGGTCGGTAATACGAGAATCATTGTTTCATCTTTTTCCCAAGGTTTTATCTAACACGCACACACACACAAAACAGAATGTTAAATATGGGCAAAAACTGCTTTGAAGCTGAAAATGTCTCTGTCAGTGTGTATTTTACAACATGACAATAAAGTTGTTTCATTTCAATCAAAGTGTCTAAAAATACATTCATTTATTCCTTAACAGCACTATAAAATAAGAGTGAAATGAGGGAAAGAAACTTAAATTAAACAAGTTTATTGTCCATCTTTATTGATAAATTTACGCAAGGCTTTTACTGAAATTAACTACTCCAGGAACAATTACATATATTGCCCTTTATCAATGAATAAAAACTTCCATTCTACCTGATCAAATATTTGTTACAGATATTATACCTAAATTAGGTTCTACAATCTGAGGCAGAACATTAAAATATTAACACTAAAGAGTCAAGTTCATCTAGTTGGTACAAACATGCACAATGCTTTGACTTCGCTCCCAAAATACTTGAATTTGAAGCCTCAGTAATGTATAAAAACTGGGATTTATAAATAGCATTATTTAAATTGAGATGCAAATAATATTAAAATTAGGTCAGACCATTATGGTCACTTATAACATAAACTTAATTGTCAATCAATGTTAGTGTTGCATGGAGTTGTTGATAAGAAATTTCATTATACTTTGACATATTCTGAACTGTTTAATGAATAAAACTATACAAAATCTTCATTTAAACTCTTAATTAGTTTTTTTTTATTGAAAATCTGTAAAGCTTTTAAAATCATTTGAACAATTTCATAAATCCATCCAGTTTTTCAAATAAGTATAACTTTAAGGCTTACAATTTTAGTAGTTTTTGCAAGAAAAATGTTCTTAGGTCCATAATAAACCCAATACCGTAATAATTCTATTTAGCGCCCGGGCTTTTATAAGAATCATAGACTTTTCGAAAGTTGGGGATGGGCGTTAATTGGAGACGCATCTTCATAAGACAAACTAATTTTCTAAGCAAGGCTTTATAAATCCACTCGCCCCTCATAACTATAAGAAGAAATCGAATCCGAAGATAGAGCGGATGTTGATTTATAATTGCAGACAACGCTATAGTCGATTTCGGTATCGTTACGTACCGGCTAAAGTCTGTTCTTTTCCGCACTTTAATACCGTGCATGTAGAGTCCGGTATCCGAGCACGGGAATAAACAAGAGCTGTCCGTAAGACAGCGCGCTCAACTTTTTTATTGCTTGCCAATAAAAAAAGTTTTTGCAGTAAAAGGCAATACAAGAATCTCTGTATTTTTAAAGTGAACAATGGCCATGAGCATTAAGATATTTAGTGAAGAATTATTTTACTGAATTGTGTGATACCCTTGAACACTGCAGGTTCAGTGGATAGGAATGAATTTTTTTAGATTTTTTAAGTTTTTTAGTGCTTGCCTATAATACAAAACATTGACAGTTAAGGGCCATAATTCAAATAAAATCTTTGACAGAATTACCTTCTCCTGGACATGTTTGGAATCATGATTGTAAACAAGTATTCCAACTTTCAAATTAATATCTCAAACAGTTCAGTCAAAAAGTGGACTGGTACTAAAAACTTAACCAAGATTCTAAGTCGATAAAAAGCCTTAATTTTAAAAACAAATCCTTGACAGAGTTACCTTCTCTTGCGTACAGATGGGGGTAATGATGTGAAATAGCATTAAAAGTTTCAAAGCAATATCTCAAAGGGTTAAGGCAATAAGTGGATTTTACCCATATTCAATGTATTTTCTAAGTCAAAAAGGGGCATAATTCTGTCAAAAAACCTTGACAGAGTTATGTCCTCTTGTCTGTTGATGAAGGTCGTGATGGTAAACAAGTATGGTCAGTTTCAAAGCAATACCTCCAATGGTTTTGAAATAAAGTGAGGTGGTACAAAAAACTTAACCAAGCTCAATACACTTTCTAAGTCAAAAAAGGGCCATAATTCTGTCAAAAACCTTGACAGAGTTATGTACTCTTGTCTGTAGATGGAGGTTATGATGGTGAACAAGTATGGTAAGTTTCAAAGCCATACTTGTAATACTTCTGAAATAAAGTGGGGTGGTACGAAAAACTTAACCAAGGTGTGACGCCAACGCCGATGCCGGGGCGAGTAGGATAGCTCCCCTTTTCATAGAAAAGTCGAGCTAAAAATGAGCCTCACGCATTTTTACTGCAAAAATATTATGACTTTTCCCAACAAAATATTTATGTAAGGTTACCAATTAACTCTGTAATCTGGGATGTTCTATACAATTCAAAAAGTCAATGGAATATTTCGAGTCCGATCATTATGCATTTTTTACCCGCCAATATGATTGTTAAAGAAAAGTAAGAATAGTTCTGACCGATTTTACTGACACAAGCATATATGTTCCTAAAGGGATTGATGTGGGATTTTGATATTAAAAGACAATCATCTATTGTTCAAAATAATTTTAATCAGAACTAATATCCCATGTTAGGCCCCAATACATTGAACCACGCACGTTGACCTTGCTGACGTAATGAAAGAGGCGCGTGAGTTTTGGCATCTCGGAAATGGTTATTTTTATACATGTAAATATATCTTATACACAAAACGCATTGAATTATGGCAACACCTATGCTTGTGTCTATAAAATCTGTTATTAAGGGATATCACGTTTACAAATATACATGCCCAGTCGGAACAATACTTCAGTGTAATTTGGAACCAGAAAATGAACATAGTGATAGCGCAATTATCGTAAAAAATAATGGATCTCTTGTTGGACATATACCGGAGAGATTATGTCAGCCTCTTACAAAATTATTCAAAGATGGACTTTATTGTAGAAATCAGTGCCGAAATACTTGGAGAACCGTGTTCGTCATAAAAAGGAACTTTTGTAAAAGGTGGTGGCATTGAAATACCGTGTACATATAAACTTTACGGAAAAAAAGACAAGAAAAGGGAAGTTCGTTCCTACGTGAAAACAGAAATAAGGAAACTTGGATTGTAAAGGTAAGCTCAATTGTACTCAAATCGGGGGATGGGCGTTTAAAAGGGGCAGTTAATTTTTCAACTTTGGGCTGAAAAATGGCCGTTTTTTGTCCAAAATATGGGGGGGGGGGGGCGTCTATTATAGAGGATGGGCGCTAAATAGAATTATTACGGTATGTTATTTGTTCTCCATAACTTCCTCAGAAAATAGTGGGAGGCATTATTCACTGTTTTGTTGTCATTTTATTACCCAAAGAAAATAAAGACCAAAAAGAAAGGACAACATCTCTTTTACTGCCAAATAAGCTCAACTACTGATAATTACATGTTCTGTTACAGAACATTATTATGATTATCATCAGTCTGGAAACATGTTGTTTAAGAAAGAAAATATTTAAGGGGGTCGTTCAAATGCAAACTCTGGTTCTTTTATTTTTTGTAGGCATTAAATCACATCAAATCTGTTTATAGCAATTTTTCAGTTTAAGTCACAGGAATGGTGTAATGGTATGTAAACTGTAATGAAAAATGTTATTATTTTGGTATGTGTGATTTTTTAGTTTTTTTTCTTTATTTATATAAAATTTAACATAAATCCAAGTTATCTAATTTAGCATTTTTTCATTATATGAGATACTATTTGTATGAAACTTGTC